ATCCAGAGTCTTGACTGTTTAGCGTTAGCTGTTAGCTTCACCAGCCGATCACACGGTCACCTGGTTTAACACACTCCAGCTGTTATACATACCTCCATGATCCTCTCCTCTCTGGCAGCCCAGTGGTAAAGGCCGGAGGCTCCCCGAGGTCTACTGCATCGTCAGCCGCCTGGGTTGCTTTGACCTCTTCTCAAAGGTAGGTGTGGTGACTTACGCAAAGACAGAAATGCACAAATTACAGCCATAACTTGCATCCAGTTGCTTTGAAATTCACATCACACAAAATCTCACATATGGTACAAGCTTCCCTCCAATAATAAAAACAACATACCATCCTTGGAGCCCACAAAACCACACCCACTATCTGCCACGCCCACTTTCCCGCAAAACCTCCTAGTTCTGGCTCCAGTACAGCAACACATGAAATTCAGCTGGCATAGTTGCTTTGGTGCAAAAGGTTCCCTGTAATAATTCATAGATTTATGCACATGTTGAATTGGGTTTTTAAATGTTCTCCGAGTCATGCCATAAATAGGATTAGATTTAAAGTAAGCATATGGGAGTTTTTTAATGTGTTTCTTTGGTGTAATCTGCACAAATGTATCAATTTGTACACTGAATCTTAAGAAGTATACATCACTGAAAAATAAAAACAAGTACAGTATATAAACTTGTTCTTTAAACAACCTCAGTTTGGAGAAATAGAGTTTAGTTCCGACTGGATCAGTGAACAAATGGCTGCAGGATCAAGACCAAACTGGTTTGCTGTTGTGTAAAAACAAATCCAATCCCAAATATTTCCTAATAGTTTATGCAAAGCAGAGCTGTAAAGTAACTAAGTACAAATACTTCTTTACTGTACTTAAGTAGAATTTTTGGGTACTTGTACTTTACTTGAGTGATTATTTTTCAGCCTACTTTTTACTTCTACTTCTCACATTTTCACACAATTATCTGTACTTTCTACTCCTCACATTTTGTAAAAAGACAAGAAGTAGAAAGTCGTTACTTTTATTTCATTTTTTGCTTGTTTTCATTGCAGCTTGTTATTGTGAAAAAATAATACTACCCATATAAACTGTGACTTGTAGATAGAGTGAATTTAACTGTGGTTGAATGAGAAGTATAAATTTATAAAACTCTGATAGTGTATTAGTTTGTACACAAACAAATCATGTCACACAGGACATAGCAGACATATGTAGCCTAGTGCGAATATGGCGGTATATCTGTCTATTAGGGGTGCAACAATACATGTACCCGTATCAAACAGTGCTGTATGGAACAATACAGATTTTTAAAATTTACTTTATCAACTTGTCTTCTGAAGATGCTCTGTGTTGAAGGATCAGTGGATCTGTGTTCGACTACTCCACCTAGGCTGTATTTTTGAGCACAGATCCACTGAGAAACTTGCTGTTTCAGCAACATTTAATTAAAAATGGTACTTTTGAGGTTAAACAAATGTTCATAATTAATTTAAATAAATTAAAAGTTAAAAGGGGCATGGACATTTCTCTTTTTGTATCGAAAAAATATCAAACCGTGAGACTAAAGTATCAAACCGAACCGTGAATTTCCTGTATCGTTGCACCCCTAGTATCTATCTATCTATCTATCTATCTATCTATCTATCTATCTATCTATCTATCTATCTATCTATCTATCTATCTATCTATCTATCTATCTAT